TCATGCTTTTCATCAGCCATTCAGCCTATTTAAAGGGAAAGAACATGTTACTGTGTTGTTTGGTATCATTGTGTCCACCACATTGAACATGGACCAGAGAAAGCAAAGGAGAGAACTGTCTGAGGAGCTCAGAAAGAAGATTATAGATAACCATGTTAAAGGTAAAGGCTTTACGACCATCTCCAAGCAGCTTCACGTTCCTGTGACCACAGTTGCCAATATTATTAAAAAGTATAAGGTTTATGGGACTGTAGCTAACCTCCCAGGACATGGACGCAAGAGGAAATGCAACCTCAGGTTGATCAGAATTGAAGTACTGATGGCAGAAAGAGCCAAGGAATGCATAAAAAACCACTCAAACTAAGATTCAAAGTCAAGGTACATCACTTTTTGATCACACCATCTGTCACATTTTTATGAATAACACAGGACAAGAAAAAAAAAACTATTTTTAAATCATCAGAGACCAAAACACATTTTTCCAAGTCAGTTTTTCATGCTGATTCCATATCTGTTTTCAGTTTTTTTTTCTGTCACGTCAAATTTTTGTAGTAATGCTAAGTAATGCTAGTTAATACCGTAAATTGCAATTATTGTGTACTAAAACAAAAGCATCACTGTAGTACAGGATAAAATATCTTTAGAGCAAAATCAAATAGACAGTGGGCATAAAGGAATTGAAAAGTGTTTGTTAACCATCACCATTTCTTCAAAAATGCTTCGAGTTTGATTTTCTTGTGTACACCATGTCTGGATTGTCGCGGTATAGCATCCAGCAGTAGTCGGGCATCATGTGTTTACTGTAACCAACTGCACCTTCTCTGTACTCCTCATCACCTTCTACAGAATCAAAATCATCATGTGGCTGTACAGGAACAGGCAATTAATCGTCATGAGGAACAGGCCTGATTGCAGAATCTAGGCTGGGATATACAATTTTGTGCTTAGTTTTAGCTCAGAATCCACTTGTGTTCGTGCGCCAAAAGTCGTTGAGATGGTCTCGCGGTTCCCTCCACACCATTGGAATTCCAAATGGCATTGCTGCCTTTCGCCGATTTAGCCAGTCAATCAGACCATTTGAACAACTGGTCCAGATGATATGTGTAGCCCAAGATTTATCCTGGTCTCCAAGTGGACAGCCAAAGTATAATTTGTATATCTTCTTAAGATCTGCAGTGATTGGGTGACGTTGTGCTTTCGTTGTGAATGAACCACACACATAACAGAAACTGTCTGGATGATTAATACAATTTCTAGGTATGATAACAAATGACAGCCAACACAGTTGATGCTGTCTGTCACCGCCGACTTTGATTTCCAGGACGATGACCCAGAATTCAAACTCTTGAGTTAGATTTAGTATTTCTTTTGCAACAATTCAAGAAATAATAAAAAATTGTTGAGAAGCTTACGTCAGCAAAACGAAACCTGAGGCACAACTACCTATGTTTCCCGCTAAACTAAGTTGTATACACAAGACATGCGCACTAGGTGAAATTAATTATACTCAAATCGCAACTAGACAAGTGTCAATAAATCATAAATCAATATCTAGTCACCTAGAGAATGATGATGCTGTCTATAAGATAAAAAAACACAGACAACTCTTGTAATTCACTAGACTACATGTACATAATATCATACTACATATAGCTTCATCACAAAAACTTGACGTGCTAGAGAAAAACTCAACACAGGTTTTGTTTTGAGGCTGCTTTGCTGCATCTGGCACAGGGAATCTTGAATCTGTGCAGGGCACAATGAAGCAGGGCTCTCAAGTTTTGAAGACAGGCAAAAGTGACATTCCACAGGATGCCTTTTCATTGGTTGTTGTGTTGCATTTTACCCAGATACAATAGTACTATTTTCTGATTGGCTATTGTGTAGGCCCTTTCTTTTTTTTGATTGGCTGGTAAGTGACAGGCTCTAATGGTGCGTTCGTTCTCTCCAAGTCTGAACTCGGATGAAAACGCCACGAAAAACGTCACTTCCCGTCGGAAACATGCCTCTTTTATGACGTTGCTGTCAGACAAGATTTTTTTTGTCTGAGTTGCCCCTGTGACGTAATTTCAACGTGGCGGCTTACACACTCAACAGTAATTCTATTTTATAAATCTTTAAAAAAAAATTATTTTGTTAAATGTATTAATAGTTATAAATGTAATTGCATGTGTTCGATTTAGAAAATACCATATCATGACCCTAAACAGTATCCTAGCATGCAATATCAGATTTTTACCAGACTTGTTAGTGTCTTTGGTTTGTTTGTAGTTTGTTTGCCTCTCGAAAAAAGAATATTGCTATGAATGTACTAAAATATTTTATAAAACTTTTCATGTGGTTTGACTAGTTCGTATTTCTTGTCTGTTTGTTTCTCGGAAAAAATTATGTCACTCCAAATCTACTAAAATATAAAGCAACAACATACAGCCGCGTGTTCACGGAGGCAGCCATGTTCGTTCAGAGATGTGGTAGCTCGAACGGGAGATTGTCGGACGTGATGTCACTCAACTCAGAATATCCGAGTTCCGAGAGAAAAACAAATGCACCATTAGACTCCAGCGGAGGCACGCTTGTTTTATAGTGAGGCGCTATTGTGCCGCAGTCTGAAAAATATTGGGCGCTGCAGCATATTAGCCTACAAATTATTTTTCCGCGTGAGAAATACAATGTGTGGCGGGAGTGCGTGACAAAAGACTAAAAAGAGTAACTGTCACTCTCAATGTGTGACACTTGAGAGCCCTGATGAAGTCTCAAGACTACCAAGGCATCCTGGAGAGAAACATACTGCCCAGTGTCAGAAAGCTCAGCCTCAGTCGCAGGTCATGGGTCCTCCAACCGGATAATGACCCAAAACATACAGATAAAAGCACTCAGGAATGGCTGAGAAAAAAACTTTGACTATTCTTAAATGGCCCTTGGTGAACCCTGATCTTCCAGAAACAACAATGGAAGAAATCAAACACCAAGTTCCAGCCAAATTACACAAAGAAAGGCAGGATGACAGCGGGATCAACATACACCCACACATCATGGAGCTGGACCACAACCATTACACCACACAAACCAACAGGACAACTTTTGCAACAACAGAAGAATCTAATGTGGCCCCAGTATAGACACAACCTACCTCAGCCCCCACAATAATAGAAACACTAATACATAACTTTGATAGAACACACACTATATGTAGGAACTGACCCCACCCAGAGACCACTAACATTGAAACGGCAAACACACACACATGTGCGCGCGCACACATATACATATTAGGAGCAAGAGGGGACACATTCTCTATTGTGCTATCCAGGCAGTGTGTGTGAATGAATTCCATTGTGTAAAATATGCATTTTATGTATGGTTAAAGAATTCTCTTGTGATGGAGTACTGCTATGAAGGAATTCCAGATTTCAGTTAAAAAAAAAATAAAAAAAAATTTTTTTTGCATGATGTGGTTTGTTTTTCAAGTAAAATATATTCCAAAAGAAGATTTTCCCGTTGTTGGGTGCTGAATATGTTTTTAGAGACAGATTTCTTGGTGATATTTTGAGATTAATGATATTATATTTCATTTATTGGAGAGATCAGTCTGTGTTATATCACCAAGTAAGCACAGAGTCTGAGTCTGAGTTATTGCTGTCCAGAATGTATGAACTCCTTGGCAAATCCACATATAGCGTGTTTTATATTAAACCTTTGCTGGCCTGGTTCTGACTGGTCTTATAGCATGTTGCTTTTTAGTCAGATGAAAAACTCTTGGAAATATTCAGGGCGTGTCTCCAGAGTGGTATGTATTTTAATGGTATGTTTGACTGCCAGTCCTGCCTTTGGATGATTAACATATATGAAAAGGTGTTAGGATAGTTGTGATACCCTTTTCTGTCCAGTTCCTGGTACCACCCACTCTCATGTAGGCCAATGGTGCTGGATGTATACAGTATTTGCATAGCATGACACAGTACTGTTTTTGACTTAGATTATTTTTTTTAACCCACCACGATTGTGATAAATAAGGCAAGAGAACAAAAACCACAGAAATGGCTCTTGCATGCTAACCAGAGACTAGGGGGGGATGGTTTAGTCTCTAAGTCTTAGCAAGTCAGTTTAACACTGTATGTTGTGGACACATATAGATACTATGCAGTGTTCATTTAACACTGGCACATTTGCTGTGTACATTACATGTGAGAGCTTCATTGGAGCATATGAAATATTATAATCAACACTGCCATGCCTTATGACTGTCAATAGAAGATGGTGTAATGTTTTTTTTTATTTCTGTATCTAGCATCAAAATGCATTACGAAGGTATCCATAGTGCATTATAGATGCAGGCTTCATTGGAGCTTATGAAATTTTATAATCAATAGAAGATTACTGTCAATAGAAGATGTTCGTAGTGGCAAAATTCTAGTTCTGAGTTTGGTTATAATCAATCCGCTTCTTTCACATGGTGCAGTAAAATTGTAGTTTTTGATGTGTATCCATTTCCAGTGTTCATTTTATCACTCACCTCAACTAAAATGCACGCTGCTCACAAGGCCAAATCCTGATGAACATTCTATTCTATTCTCATTGATATCAGAAAAAAGTTTCTCAGAATTTGGCTCTTACAATGCTATAATGCAGGGGTCACCAACTCCAGTCCTGGAGGACTACTATCCAGTAAGTTTTCTATCCTACCTGGCTTCTGATGAGCCACACCTGCTCCTGGTATTTACCTGAGAACTAGTGTGGCTCATCAGAAGCCAGGTAAGATAGTTGTAGTTGGTGACCCCTGCTATAATGCTTAATTCAGTGCCACTTTACAATAAGACTACCCATATAAAAAGTTTATGAATGGTTTGTAATCTGGTTATTAATTAGGTAGTAACACTTTGTAAATTATTAATAGACAATTTTAAACAAGTTATAGCAGTTTTCTTTTTATTAATGTGTTACTACCATTTACAAGTGGCAAAACGGATTCTTATTGTAAAGTGGTATCATTAATTCTTATAATGGCCATTATAACACATTATGACCGCTTCAAGTAAAGTGTTGCTGCAATTTTCTTTGGGTAATTGGGAAATTAATGTAAGTGGGGGAGACAGTGGCCTGTACTGCTTCTTATTAAACCAAGCTATTGTTTTCAGTATGTTTTGAGTCAGTATTATTAGCAATGTGTAGGTTGTGTATGTGTCTGTGTCTTAAAATATTTTCTTTTCCAGGCTGAACAGCTGTAATCTCACAGAGAAATGCTGTGAGGAGCTGGCTTCAGCTCTCAGATCAAACTCCTCACACCTGAGAGAGCTGGACCTGAGTGACAATTATCTGCAGGATTCAGGAGTGAAGCCACTCTTTGCTGAACTGAGGAATACACACTGTAAGCTGGAGATACTGAGGTCAGTCCTACTTGACAATTCAAATACAAAAATGATATTTTAATATAAAGCATGGGCTGCAAAGCAAATCACATGAAGCGCTGCACTTGTACCCTTTCACTTTTACTAAGCAGGTATAGATATCAACTTTGTTTTTTAGGAATGAGGACATTACACACATGTTTTGTTTTAATATCATTATACTGTATAACTAGAGTAGCATCGATTGAAAGTTCTCATCCTGCCTGCAAGAGATTGTAGAATATGCACAAATTGAACTGGAAAATCCCACAAAAACTTTGCTCCTGTAGGGGGTGTGTCATGCCAAATCTCTTCGGCTGTCCAAAATGGTTCCCCCCATGACATATCATTCAGGTGTTTGGCTGATGATGCAGGTACCTTGTACGTTTCAAGGTACCCTGTAAGTTTCAAGTTCACCATTTCTGCTGCAGCAAAAATTCACATAAAATATGATTACAAATGTTTTTTTTTAATTGTATTTTTGCTAACTAAGAAATCGCTTACAGTTAGCGTGATAATACAACCAACATGTTTTATTAGATTATTAATGTTCATTTAGCTCCATATCGACATGATTTATTGTATCAATGTATATATTCAGATTCAAATCCATATATTCAACTCAAATGCCGATTATTTTTTGTTGATTATAACACTTTTAAAAAACATTTGTAAGCATATTTTATTGATGTGAACTCTTGCTGCGTCCCAGGCTAACATATAAGCACCATGATTCTATTAAAAATAAGGGGATAGAAGTAATCCAGCAAACTATAGGCCAATCAGTATAATTTGCATAACTGGAAAAGTAATGGAAGCTATAATCCAAGTGAAAATGGTAGATTACTTGGATTCAAATAACATTCTGAGGGATAGCCAACATGCATTTAGGAATGGTAGATCTTGATTAACTAATCTACTTGAGTTCTTTGAGGAAGCTACAGGAGAAATAGATCAAAAAAAGGCCTACGACGTGATCTAGTTAGATTTCCAAAAGGCTTTTGATGTTGTCCCCCACAAACGGCTCTTGCTTAAGCTCAAAGCTGCAAGGGTTTTAAGAACTGTAGCAGCTTGAATCGAAAACTGGTTAACAGACAGGAAGCAACAGGTAGTTATTAGAGGCACAATGTCACAGTGGGCCTGTGTTCATAGTGGGGTACTGCAGGGCTCAATTTTAGGACCATTATTGGGCCTCATTCACCAACCGTTCTTACGAACAAATTTGTTCTTAAACCCCACGTACGCACTTTTTTTTTACAAAGATTCTGACATTCACCAATGTTTTCTTATCTGAATTTGTTCTTAGCTAAGAACAGAATCTATGCACACTCAAGACCATTGGTACTCACATGATAGTAATGATAGTTTGTTAAAAATAATTGGTTATAGCAGTTTTGTTCATTCTACAGTTCATAAAATGATAGTATTTTAATAATTTATAAAAGTAAAATATAAAAAATTATTAAAAGTGTAAAATTTTTTGTCATGGTAGTAACGGCAATCATGCGGATTATAAATAGGTCAGAATCTTTGTAAAAAAGTGCGTACGTGGGGTTTAAGAACAAATTTGTTCATAAGAATGGTTGGTGAATGAGGCCCATTGTTCCTAATTTACGTTAATGATATTGACACCAATACATACAGTAAACTAGTTAAATTTGCAGACGACACCAAGGTGGGTGGTGGAGCAGATACTAAACTAGCAGCACAGAGGCTACAATGGGATCTTGATTTAATTATGTCTGGGCTGATACCTGGCACATGAAATTTAATGTAGATAAATTTAAGGTACTCCATGCAGGGAGAAGAAATATAAAGTACAGATATTTTATGGATTCCACTGAAATAAAGGTTTATGAGAAAGACCTTGGTGTGTATGTTGATGCTTCCATGTCTCACTCTCATCAGTGTGGGGAAGCAATTAAAAAGGCCAATAGGATGTTGGGTTACATTTCTAGGTGTGTGGAGTTTAAGTCAAGGGAGGTAATGCTAAGATTATACAATTCCTTGGTGAGACCTTACCTAGAATATTGTGTGCAGGTTTGGTCACCATACCTTAAAAAGGACATTGCTGCCTTGGAAAAGGTTCAACGTAGGGCTACAAGAATGATTCCTGGTCTTAGAGGAATGTCTTATGAGGAGAGGTTAGCTGAGCTGAATCTGTTCAGCCTCGAGCAAAGGAGATTAAGGGGGGACATGATCCAGGTCTATAAGATTCTAACAGGTCTGGATGCTGTTCAGCCAAATGGCTATTTCAATATTAATTTAAACACTAGAACTCGTGGCCATAGGTGGAAATTAACGGGAGAACATTTTAAACTGAAAGTACTTCTTTACACAGCGTGTAGTTAGAGTATGGAATAGTCTTCCTGCTAGTGTAGTGGAAGCTAAAACCCTGGGTTCCTTTAAATCAGAGCTAGATAAGATTTTAACAACTCTGAGCTATTAGTTAAGTTCTCCCGAAATGAGCTTGATGGGCCGAATGGCCTCATCTTGTTTGTAAATTTCTTATGTTCTTATGATGACATTATGATATTGTCAACTGCTCAAGATTTGTCACCTGACTTTTATGCATTGGTGAAGGCAATGTGCCAGGTTTCAGGAGAAAAATTATTGTATGAGAAAATTCAAAGGCATTTTCTATAGCCATCTGTATTTGGTGAAATATACAGAGAAGCTACATGCCTGTTAGCATAAATATCATAAGTGATATTTACATTAATTTCTGTTCACTGAAACTATCAGTTTTTTTAACATTTTTTAAGCAGACTTAATCTTTTATCACTAAGCATAACTTCTCTGTAATTGTTTGGTTGTGGATATGAGAAAACCATTGATTATTTGTATAAAATTCAGAAGGTTTGTAAAGTATTCCAGTCTGTTCATTTGATTGTACATGATTTATGATCCATACAATTGTTCATTGAACATACCTGTACTGGGTAGAGAAAAGAAACCTCTACTACTAAAACAAAAAATTAAAAGAGTAGTTTGAAAAATTAAAACAGATACGAAAATAAATATTAAGGCTGTTAATAATGTTTTACTAATCTAGCAAAAAAAAGGCTTTTGTCAGCAATTTCCAAAAACCTTTAGCACATGGAAAATCTGAGCTAAAATGGTATAGTTTGAACTTAACTTATTATTAATAATGCATTAGTTATTAATAACTTAATAACATATTATTAATAACATCAGTTATTAATAACGTAATGACATTGGTTATTGATGCTGTAATTCCTTATTAGTTATTAATAACTGAATAAGTTATTAGTTATTTTTTTCAGCTGGGTCTGAATTTCCTGGCAAAAGCACACACTTGGATCATGTCGTCTAAAATGAGTTAGCATGTTGGATGTCTTTCTAGATAAATATCCGAGTTTGCTGTAACCAACCTGACAGTCACTCTTACTTTGTCTCTAGTTTTGGTGTAATTATTAGGAAGCCAAAATGTTCCCAAACTACTGATTTAAGTGATGTGGGGGTGGCGGTCTTCAAGCTCTCTAGCACTAACTGTAACTTAAAACCACAATTAGCATAATGTTTTCCATATTAAATATCTACTTGTGAATTGTTTCATCCATTTCAGGAAATGTATTAATTCATTTCATTACAAATTCCAAACTGTGCTATAACTGAATAATGTATACCATTACAGCCCTTATCTTTACTTTGAATGTAAACCTGAATTGCCAGCAAAATCTGTTTAAAATTCACAATATAATATCAATTTGGGTGGTCTCTGTCCATTCCCACCCCTAGTGTTGAGCCCTCCGAAGTGTTAGGCAGCTCTTGGCATTCAGACATTCATTCTCATGCTTCCGCCTTTTTTTCAAGCCTTGTATAGATGATATCACTAAAGATGTTCACTTTGGACACTTTTCCACCACACCAGGTACCATACTTTGGTACTTCGACAAAGTACCTATAGTACAGAACTTCAAGGTGTTGGTTTTCCACTAGCATAAAAACCAGTACTGGCACCAAATGACATCACAACGTGAGGCGAGGCATTTGTAATGAGTTCAAAAATGGCTGTAGTATGTTATATGGCTGGACGATGTCCGACATTAATACCAACATGCAGTTGCTATTTGACATTAATACCAACATGCTATTTGCATGCTGCCTTAGTGTAGGCCTATTAAACAAAATAGCATGCTGTCTTAGTATATTAAACAAAATACTTCTTAAATTTCTTGTCATGCCATTCTGATCTATTTGTAGTATCTGTTCTTTCGATCAGATCGTAATTATTTTTTTTTACTTTATCATTGTTTTTGTATTGCGTTTTGTGTTTCAGTGGCAGGCTATTTGTATAACCCATCGAGAAAAGAAAGTGTTTCAAGTCCCACCCCAAAGTATCGAATTATCAAAGAAGTATCCCAGCTGGTTTGCCACTTTTCGTACTGGAACCTTTGGTACTGGTACTCGAATGGAAGTCAGTGGAAAAGCAAAAGTACTGAAATAACCATACTTGGTATGGTGGAAAAGTGCCTTTGAGAGAGTTATTCAGGATGACTGCCAGTTACTGTCCAATTGTTTTCTTAAATAGATGAGTAAAAAGGAGGGAATGTGAGTATTGTTACAGTCTGAAGGCAGGTGACTGGCTGGCTGGCTCAGCCTAGGGCAGAGCTGTATGCCCTGATGGCAGCAGGAATACTAGAACTCGTGGCCATACAGTAAGTGGAAATTAGCGGGAGAACATTTTAAAACAAATTTGAGGAAGCACTTCTTTACACAGCGTGTAGTTAAAGTATGGAATAGCCTTTCTGCTAGTGTAGCGGAAGCTAAAACCATGGGTTCCTTTAAATCAGAGCTAGATAAGATTTTAACAACTCTGAGCTATTAGTTAAGTTCTCCCCAAACGAGCTTGATGGGCCAAATGGCCTCCTCTCGTTTGTAAATTTCTTATGTTCTTATTCAAGATTCAAGATTCAAGATTCTTTATTTGTCACATACATAGTTATAACAGGTACAACATGCAGTGAAATGAACCCTGACCGATCCAAAGACTGTGCAAAAAGAGAAAGAGAAAGATAAAAAAAAAAAGTGCAGATAAGGTAATATAAATATAAATATAAAGTGCAGACAATAAGATTAAAAATTAACAAAATATCCAACATATACAAAATGCAAAATAGTGGCAAGTGGTGGCGCATGAGGTGATGTGCAAAGTGCAGTGTGCATTGAAGTTGCCTTAGAGAGTGGATTGTCCATGCAGTTAGGAACCTGCTGTATGATATTTGAGAGGTAGTGGTGTCATGTCCTGGTTGAGAAGTCTTACGGCATGAGGATAGAAGCTCCTCCTGAGCCTCTCTGTTTTTGCCGTAATGCTCCTAAAGCGCCTGCCTGATTTCAGCAGCTCAAACAGACAGTTACTGGGGTGAGTCGTGTCTTTGATGATCCTGATTGCTCTGCTCCGGCATCTCCTGGTGTATATGTCCTGCAGAGACGGCAGAGCAGATCTGCCAGATGTCCTGCCAAAGTGTTCCTTGGTGCACGTCAGAGCACATAGTCTGCCACTGCAGGCAGTCCTCTGTGCCATACCTGCTGCAGGTGAGGGGTGATTATTCATGATGATTCAGACAAGAGCTTTTTCCTCATTTTTTTGTCTACCACCTCCTCCAGAGGGTTAAGGCTGGTCCCGAGCACTGAGCCAGCCTCTCTGAAGAGTCTGTTCAGTCTCTTGGTGTCCCCAGCTTTTATGCTGCTGCCCCAACACGCGCTCACATAAAGGATGATTACTGCCACCACAGACTAATAGAAAATCTGTAACTGCCTCCCATATACACCAAAAGCCCTCAGGAAATACAGCCAGCTCTGTCCCTTTTTGTACAGAGCATCTGTGTTTGTGCCCCACCCCTGTTTGCTGTCCAGATGTACCCCTAGCTACTTGTAGATCTAAACAAGCGCAATGCCCACACCCTGTATGCTGATGGGGGTATGGAGAGGCTTAGTCCTCTGAATGTCCACCACCATGTCCTTGGTCTTACTGATGTTTAGATATAGGTGGTTCTGTTCATTCAACAAAGCTGTCCACCAGGCTCCTGTATTTTCAATGTTCCCCTTGAAGAATACACCCCATGATAACAGAGTCAACTGAGAACTTTTGCAGAACACACGGCTCAAAGTTGTATTTAGTGGTGTAGACAGTAATGATAAACAGGATTGGAGGAAGGACAGTTCCTTGTGGGACACCTGTGCTACTCACTAATTGCCAGGTGAGGTAGTTCATGATCCAGGACACCTGGAAGTCATCCACCCATGCTGCCCTCAGCTTCTCTCAGAGCAGTAGGGGTTCAATGGTGTCAAAAGCATTATAAAATTCAAAGATCATTTCCCACACAGTTCTCCCCATCTTGTCCAGGTGAGAGTAAGCTCTGTGCAGCAGATAAATGACTGCAATAGGTCCAGTGATGTACCCACCATGATGATGCCACTCAAGGATCTTTATCAGATGTGATGCCACTGCGACTCTTCTGAATGGGTATTCGGGTGTCTATCTTTGGGCTCAGGCGTTGGGCTGGATGTCTTACAAAGTGCTGGTATACTTTGGAGTTGAAGACTCAGGTTGTAGATGTGATGCCGCACTCTGCGGCAGGTCTGTGCAGACCTTGAGAACTCTGGAGCTGACTCCGTCAGGGCTGGCTGCCTTCTCTGCATGGAGTCTCCTCCACTGTGTCTTTACCTGGTAAATAATGATGAAGGGGTGGGGCAGTGGTAAGAGATAAGTCCTGGCAAGAGATGTGGGTGGATTCTCTGGGATTATGGAGTGGAGTACTTTGCTACAACTGTAGTTTGAATTTGAATAATAAAGTTCTGTACTAAAATCATATGAGTGCAGCAAATTCCCAGGATGCACAGTACAGACTCCATACTTTAATTCATTTTGAAATATGAGCTGGGCTGCTTGTTATCCTGAAAACAAGCATTTGATTTAATATTTTGTATTTTTCACAAATGTTGGATATGTCAGTGTCTTACCATGTTATGTTTTTTCAGCCTGGACAACTGTAAACTCACAGAGAAATGCTGTGAGACACTGGCTTCAGCTCTCAAATCAAACTCCTCACACCTGAGAGAGCTGGACCTGAGTAACAATGACCTGCAGGATTCAGGAGTGAAGCTGCTCTCTGCTGGACTGGAGGATTCACACTGTAAACTGGAGATACTGAGGTTAGTATTACTGGATATTCCACACTGTGAACTGGACATACTGAGGTCAATATTACTGGGAATTCTACACTGTAAACTAGGAATACTGAGGTCAGTATTACTGGGTATTCCACGCTGTAAACTGGACATAATGAGGTCAGTATTACTGGGTATTTCACACTGCAAACTGGGGATACTGTGGTCAGTATTACTGGGTATTCCACACTGTAAACTGGGGACATTGAGGTCAGTAGGGCTGTGCGATATGACGATATATATATTGGATGAGAAAATAAAAACATCTATCACTTCAGGTTTATTTTGAGGTGTCGCGAAATACACTGTTTATGGAAACATTTTTCATCATTTGGATGACAGTTTGCAAGGTTACACACCACCATATGGGATGTGGCACTTGTATGAAAGTTTTTATTGGATTTTATTATTTGTAACCCACAGTCCACAAATATGTACCATGATCCACAAATATTTAACTATCCAGAAATGTGTATTTTTTTCTCTATGTTGTGTAAAAACATATCCACAAAAACACAGCAATTTGTACCCGTGAAACGTATTTTGCACATTTGTGGACATATTTGTGGGTCACGTTACAATTGTAACTTCCCTCCTATTGATTTGTGGAATTTGTCCTACCACAGCTGATCTGTAGAATAAAATCCATAAATATGAAGTGCAGCAGTGATATTTATCCTTATTGGAATGTAAGATGACAGATTTTGGTCATATCACACAGCCCTAGAGGTATTACGGGCTACAGTATTACTGGCTCAGTATGACTACTGTGGTTCAACAGTATAAACTACAGATTGGGAGGTCAGTATTACTGCTATTCCAAACCGAATACTAGAGATAATGAGGTCAGTATTACTAAGTCATTCATACTGTACTGTTAACTGGAGATACTGAGGACAGTATTACAGGGTACTCCACACTGCAAATTCAACACTAAGGACAATCCTTTGTGACACTCTACATAATGGCTCAATTAGTAATTCAGCTGATCTTGAATGATTTTGAATCTTGGTCTGGATTTGTAACTTCTGGATCTCAATTGCCCAACACTGCTATAGGGTAATTCACTGATCTAACAGCATACTGTCATGCCTAACCTTCTTCAAGCGTTACCCACTGATCTAACAGCATACTGTCATGGATAACTTCCATCAAGCGTTACCCACTGATCTAAAACCATACTATCATGGACAGCCTCCTTCAAGTGTTATCTACTGATCTAACACCATACTGTCATCGATAACCTCCCTCGAGCGTTACCCACTGATTTAACGCCATACTGTCATGGATAACCTCTCTCAAATCTATCCACTGATCTAACAGCATACTCTTATTGCTGAGAGTCGACCATTACTGCTGGTCTCTCTTTGATTTATACAACCAGTTTTCAAGAAATGTCCCTATAGAAAACAATGTTTTGATTTCCTTTCTGCAGGATGGCAAGTTGCAGAGTCAGAGGAGATGGGTGTTTTTCCCTGGCTTCAGCTCTGAGATCAAACCCCTCACACCTGAGAGAGCTGGATCTGAGCAACAATCACCCAGGAGATTCAGGTGTGAAGCTGCTCTCTGATGTACTGGAGGATCCCAGCTGCAAACTGGAGAAGCTGATGTGAGTACAGAATGCTGTTATTATGCATTTAATTAATTTTTTTTTGTTTGAAATCTAGCTTAGTTTTCATTGCTGTTTTATTGTTTTATTATCTTTTTTATTGTATACATTTTTAAAGATATATTTTCCTTAAATTCTTATTTTAATGAAGCTCCAAGACAACAAAGGTTTATTAAACAACTGAACAGAAACTCAAACAGGAAATTAAGGGGCCGCAAGGGATGTGAACTAAACAGGAGAAAAAAAAACAACTAAAATGGAACCACACACTGAAATACAGGGCTGTGGAGTCGGAGTCGAGGAGTCGGAGTCGGAGACAATTTTGGGTACCTGGAGTCAGA